ACCTAACCCTCAAAGAAAATGCCTAAAATTTTTCTCTCCTTCATAACCAAAACAATGCAGAAATACAACTTACTGCAATGACAAAGGTGTGTCCCAGAGCTTGCTTTGGGTTCCACTCAGCTGCTGTAACATCATACTTTTGCTGTGTTCTGTTGACCCTCTTGACAATTTCAGAGGGTTTCTCTAGTGAGATGAGTGCTAGGTTACGTCTCCTGAGAAAAAAGGTTTTATAAAAATTAAAACTATTTTCTTCTCTCTTTTTTCACTAAAATCTGCAGTATATAAAATTCCTTGTAAGAAATTTATAATCATAGTATGTATCACAATCTCACTTAACCCCTTACGACCAAGGGTGCTGAACCAACTGTTTTTGAATTTCTGACATTCAATCAGAGCTGACTGAAAGGAGCATAGCCTCTGGAAAGTGAGCTGGGATATTACTTTTTTCCTATCAATAAAAGGTAAGGAAGAAGGTATTTCTGGTACTGTTTGGCAAGTTTCCTCCAACTACACCCCCCTGAACTCAACCACATTCCCCATCCCTTTGTAAATGGACAAAAGTGACAACCGTTACCTTGACACTGACAGAAACATGACAATGAATGAATTGCCATATATTGCAATGACCAACATTTCTCAGCCAAAACTATATCCATGCACAGGATCCTATCCTGCCTGCCATGACTGGCTGCACAAGTTGTATTTAAAATAAAATACACAAATAACTAAATATTTATTGTTATAACTATTGCACTGTGTATGGTACATACACAGATCATATGGTGTCTGTGCAAGGAAAATAATCTATTACTAGTTTGGATAAAGTGCATTTTCAAATAACAAATATAGCACCAAGTGCTTATGCTAAAATAGAGATAACATTTCACATGGGAGGCAAAGACTCTTGCCATCACACAGCGTTTGTGTCTCTCTCTTTCATGGACACTCTCCCTCTCCCTCTCACTCTCACTCTCACGCTCTCCCTCTCATCGCTCTCGCTCTCGCTCTCGCTCTCTCGCTCTCTCGCTCTCCCGCTCTCGCTCTCGCTCTCGCTCTCCCGCTCTCGCTCTCTCTCGCTCTCTCTCGCTCTCTCGCTCTCTCGCTCTCTCTCGCTCTCTCTCTCACACACACACACACACACACACACACACACACACACACACACACACACACACACACACACACACACACACACACACACACACACACATATATATTTAATCACTAAATCCGTCCCCCATTCAACTCAACTCACTCAATAAATCACTCACCCATTCAACTCACTCACTCATTAAAATCACTCTCCTCCTCACCCTCTCTACAAACATAAAAGATAAATACTAGTCTTGATGACAGATAAAAAATTGAGGCATCTTGTCACTGTGCAGCAAGGCAATGCTGAGAAATTTCAGTCCTCAGAAATTTCAGTACATATGTGTTTATATACCTTAAATATTCTAGAGTATAATAATAATATAATCATGACACAATACTTACCCAGCCAGAAGCGTGTAGTCACCACGCCAATCCAGTGCCATGGCGGTGGCCTGAAAATAATAAAAAGATGACTTTCTACTGCTGGTAACGGAGAGAGAAAACAACATAGAACTACAAACTGCATAAAATTTAACATGGACAATTAAGAATATAAGATTAGGGAAAGACAAATATTAAGTTTCCAGAGTGGAGCACTTAATTATAAGTTAGGTTATTTTGCTTGGATGAAAGTTTTAGTATTAGAAAACAAAAAAAAGGGGAGGGGGCTCTAACTCAAGTTATGGTGTTAATTTCTGCAAAGTTTGCCATAATTTGTCATTTCAGTCCAAAGACATTAGTATTTTACAATTACTGGATTCCAGCATGTTTTCCCTCATAATTATTATGATATACAACTTTCTCCCTCATATTTCCAGTATTATCACTTCGGGGTTTGGAATAAGGAGTATGGGTGAAAAAAAAATTAATGAGCCACGGATCATATCTTTTATAGTAAAGAAATACCCTAGGGAAGGGGTTCCAGTAGAAATACCCTGGGGAAGTGAGTCCAGGGGATTGGCCTGTAGATGGTTCGGAATGCACGCTTCATTTGTACAGCAAAATACCCTGGGGAAGGGGGTCTGAGGGCTTGCTACTGGTAGGGAAATACTCGGGGGAGTATTATTTGTATGTCAGTACAAACTTCGATGCCATCATCTTTTGTAGTGACCATGATATATCATCAAACATGTATCAAACTCCATATTCGGAGTTTCAGGATGCCACAAAAAAGGCCTTTACTAATGCTGGGGGTTGTGACCCCTGCACCCTCCCTCCTGGGGGGGTCCAACCTTCTAATCACCACCCTAGAACACAAAGAATCCTCCACATATTCACAGCAGGAGAGAGTTTACAACTGACATGTGTCTGATGTCCAACACTTATCCTGTCGTGAATATGAAGAGGATTTTTATTTTCCTGGGCAAGACTAGAGGGTAGCAACCCCTCATGGGTAAGGGTATTCAACAGTATAGTCAGGCATCATCTTCATTATATTATTCTATTAGTTTTAGTTTTACCTTGTAATTTTCCTGGTGCCTTTCATGCCCTCTCCTGCTGTTGTTGGCAAGAATGTAGGGGTTTGGGGGATTCTGTGGTATAATTCCTAAATATATATGTACTAAAGAATGAGAAGAATTCATTGATACCAGAATCATTTCTATCAATTTTGTGAAAATATTGTGAATAATTACCAAATATGGAAATGAAAGAACTCTTGAAGCAAGTACTATTAGTATGGCACCCATGCCAGTTCCACTGATGAAAAGTGTCACAGTTTACATCAAGGTAACCATTATATACATTTTTTTCACTCGTAAATTTATTGCCATGCCCTGACTGATGTCCTGCTCATGTATGGTGAAACCAACAAGATTTCTGCATCTCACAAGATGAAGATTCCACACTCAATTAGGTCAGGTCCAGGTTATGTTAAGTTGGTTATTATTAATATAATAACTGCACTAAGAGAGGGAAAATCACTCACTGATATATGATATGATCTGCACAGGCACAGAATTACATCATAAATGAAAAAAAAGGTACCAACAAACATCATACAGAGACAGAGTCCAATCGCACTCACTGCAGCTAAGTCCCTGTGCATGAAACATGCAGCTTTCTAAGCAACTTTCCTCAGACTGCACATGTATGTCATATGACATAACTACCACTAACCCATTCACGCCAGTATATTTTGAAGCCAAAAATAAAAAATTCCTGGCAGCTACAAAATTGGCAAGTGGAGCTTCCCCGGAGTCTGTCCACCCGCCAGCCTTCGCCCACTGCTGCGTCTGAGCACAAGCCCCGATAAAGCGTCACACTGGCGGGACGCCTGGCAATGTTGTTTTTTTCAGGTGTATCATATATGGGATACCCATCGCTAATAGGTTAAAATAATACTATGTGATAAGATTTCATGATAATTATTTTTGAAATGATATACGATAACTTATTTCTTAAGGCAGGTTCAAAATATTCATCAAATAAATAAGTCAACAGGAACAAAAGCAATCCCTCACTCTCCCTCCATATTTCTTTCAGTCATGATAGCACTTTGCCTGATTACCGTAATTTCCCTCCTCCTTACATTCAAACCATCCCAACTATGTCCTGGTAGTTTGAACGTGGGCCTCCTTTCAAGGTAAGAAGGACATGATCTCTCCGAGCCAGGTCTGGTACGTTACCGCTTTTTTTGTTGGGTGTGCATACAAATACATGGATACACCTAACCGTGAGAAATCACTTGCAGCTGCCCTACACGTATCTTTAGCCAATCTTGAAAGTTTGATATTAGCTGCTAATGCAAAAATATAGATGCTTGTCACAGATTTTAGTTTAAACAACGCCGTGGATATTGTTCCGGCATGGGATTTTATAACAGTTTGGCTATTCGTCTGGCATACATGCGCACTAACTATTTGCGCGCAAATACACACACACGCATTGGCTTGCATACAAACTTTGGCGCTAATTTGTGTTGTTCATTGTTCATGGCTAAGGGTCGATCATCGATTATGGATTCCTTCAAAGCTGGAACTGAATTTGCCAGAGTTGCTGATGTGAAGGACAGCTTGACCAAATTTCAAGAGAGCACTTTCGCACAGTTTTATGTCAAAGATCCAAGGACTGTTGCTGTAGCTTTGAAGCGTACACCGGATAAGAAAGTAAAGCCAGAGTTGAAGTACTCCTACTTAGTGTTTGCCTGCATCAGGAAATACGCAATCAAGAGGGGTTCCGGGGGCGAAGCACCCGTTAGGGAAATACGGCAATCGGGAGGGGGTCAAGGGGCGTAGCCCCCGGGTTAGGAAGAATTTTTGATTCATACGGCGATCCTACTGGTAGTTTGTGCATTTAAGATGCAGTTCACTCGCTCATTCGTTCCCGTAACACCGTGTCGAATCATCCGTGGCCGAATCTTCTCTCGGGTTCCCACATTTTTCACTTTCTTTATCATCTGAAATGCTATCCTTGGCTCGGATTTTCAATTTCCCACATTCCTTTGCTTTTTAAAGTGCATGGTATTAAAGAAATCACCCCTCCAAACCCCTGATTCCCCACGGGATCACCCAACATTGTTGGCGGGAGTCGAGGACTTCGTCTCTGACGGGTGCGGTCATGTCTTTCATAGGCACGATAAAATCACAGAATAGGGATGAAAATCACAGAAATGTCAAACTGTAGCAAACTTAGCATGTATGCCCACTCGTTCCTAAGGATAATTAATAATTTTGATGGTAATTTTCTATATTACCTTCGCGTCTCCGATATCGACGATTTTGGTATCATTGGATTCCTCTCACTGTCCACATTGCAAATATATAGTTTTTATTGCTTGGAAACCCCCCGTTAGCGACAAAGTTGGCCAAGATAGCAGGGGAGGGCATGAAAGGTTCCAGGGAAAATGCGGGGTTAAATAACAGTTATTTTCACTGTGGGTTATATTATTAGTTGTTCACATGACTTTCCATTACAGGGGGCTGTGCCCCCTGCGACCCCCCTGGGGGGGCTGCCGCCACCCAACCCCCACCCAAGAAACAAAACCTCCACCACGTATTCCCAGCAGGCTAGAGCGTTACACAGTAATCGGCGATCTCGGAACGGCGGATGTATTACATTTACTTCGTAACATTCCCACTGAATCAGCATACTAACCTTGACATAGTCAACATTGTATACAGATACGATTGTAGTATAATCAGGATGAACAAGGTATACCATGAACAGAAGAACGGCGGTGACCCGCCCTCATTGGGTCAGCGGGTTTTGCGCCTTTTTCGATGCATCCAGTTCGTGTGCGCTCTATCCTGCCATGAAGACGTGGGGGATATTTTGTGTCCTCGGCGGGGGTTGGGGGGCGGCAGCAATGGAAAGATGTGAATAACCATGGTTATTTTCACTGTAGGTTATATTATTAGAGTAATTTCCTATATTATATCCGCGCTCCGACATCGTCGCCCCTGCTATCGGGGCCAAGTTTGCCACTAACGGGGGGTTTCTGCACAATAAAACCTACATATTTGTATTGTACAGAGTGAGAGGAATCCAATGATACCAAAATCGTCGATATTGGAGAGGCGAAGTTAATATAGAAAATTACCATTTTGATAATGTGCACCCCTGCCGGAAAAATAGGTCTTCAGTGCAGGCTTCCGACAAAGAACGCTGGAAAAATATCCCAGCAGTCTCTCGACCATGATTATAAATATTACGTGAAATGACAAAGACAGAATTATTGACAGTGCGCATGCGCGAGTGTATGCCGGACGAATAGTCAAAATGTTATAAAATCCAGTGCCCGAACAATATCCACTGCGTTAAACAAAACAATGATCTACTATGTCCATTTTCGTGCAACCGGACGAAGAACACCTATAAACGAGAATATCCTAAATGTTATTGTTCTTAATCTTCCAATGCAAGTTTTAAAATAACTGAACTGAATACAAATACAATAGAATAACAAAACACAAATAGCTCCCTCTATCATTGAGCGAAGCCTTGCTTTGCATGTAATCATTCCACTAAGGATTTAATTCTATAGTTGTCTCTACACATAAAAAGACTGTAAATTTGTAAAAAATTATATTTGTCAATTACTTGTAAATCTCTGTGTTCGGCGACAACATTTTCGCTGCTCCATCGCACAGCCATATCTTATATACATAGGAGAAATAAATATCATAACGATCGGCTCTTCAACATAGAAAACAAAAGAGCATCGCAGGTTGAAGCCAATGTTTGCACATGATATCCTTTACCATTTAAATTGAGTATCTCTCTCAATTTCGATACATTTATTTTATTCATATTCTTCGTATCGTCGATGCATGACCATATATCTAAATATGTTTCAGCTTAGGCGTTGTTAGAGAAGTAGAATAACACATTTAGACATTTCGAAACCTAATGGACGACCTTTGTTTAGTATTCAATCCCTTTTATTGAGTGTTATTGTTACGATACATATCTTTATTTTCTGTATGGCGTCGTTTGTTGTCCTGAATTAATATGGGTTAGCAAAATGACGAAGGAAATTAATTAACGGGAATTCATGTCATTAGCATATATGAAGGTTTTGTGAGGAATCTTGTCCTCGCAGGGCTTGTTTTATTTATCAAATGATAGCCAAGATTAACATTTCTTACGTTTCTATTCTATGGGTGGAATAAACAATCTAAATTTGTCATGGTGTTAACGTTATTACTATTGCTGTCATTATTAACAATTACCATCACTAATATTATTACTATTATTATTATTGTTATTCTTATTATCATTATTTTTATTATTATGGTGATGACATGATATTATTGATATCATTATATTTATTTTCTCTGTCATTATCGTCATCGTCATCATTTTCATTGTAATCACATTAATTATCATTATTATTGTTGTTGTTGTTGTTGTTTATTATATTATTATTATTATTATTATTATTATTTTTATTATTATTATTATTATTATTATTATTATTATTATTTTATTATTATTTTATTATCATTTTATCATTATATTATTATATCATTCATTATCATCAGGTTCTACCATTATTATTGTTGTCATTATTATCATTATCATCATCATTAACATTATTTATAATTCATATTATCATCATCATTTCATTATTTTCATCTTATTTATCATTATCATTATTGTAATCATCACCATTATTCAATCATTATCATGTTAATCATTATTATAATCTTATTATTTTGTCATCATTATTATCATTATCCTTGTTATTACTATTATCATCATTGTTATTATTAGCAATATTATCATTATTATTATTATTATTTATTATTTATTATTATTATTATATTATTATTATTATTATTATTATTACTATTATCATTACTATTATTATCATTATTATCATTATTATTACTATCGTTATTATTATCATCGTCATTATCCTTCTTATTATAATCATTATTGTCGTTATCATTATTATCATTA